TAAAGCATAACGCTTGTGGTGCTTGCTTCCAAAATATCAACAAAATGATTATTTGTTCTTTACTTCAACAATCAATAAGGTATGTATTCTTACTAATGAATTCAAGTTTGAATAGGAAAAATTTGTAGTTTGATATTTCATAGTATGTTGCCTTTATGTGAAAGAAATAGATCCTTCTTAGGTTGCATGTGTCATAATCATTTAATTGTTAAATGTTTTTCCGCTTAGAGCATTGTTTTTGTAACCTCCATAACCCATCAATTTCGAGGGCCAGATGATCATCAAGTACATGACATTACGAAGAACTAGTTTATAAGAGATAGACAGGGTAACGTGGTCCATTGCAACGACTGATGATGATTGTGTAATTCATGAACTCAAATTTTACAGGACAAACGACAATCAAGTAAAAGTAGAACCCAACCGAGTCAATCAAAGCCAAATTTAATATTAAGAGCATGTTTTGAATTGACATCAAGTTAAATCGAGTTCAAAATTTCATCCTGCAAAATCCTAACTTAGAGATCAATCCAAATAACTCATCCTCAATTCCCCATTCTTCCAATTTTGAGAATCGAATTGGGTGAATTGGTGATTATAACAATAAAAATGAGAGATAGTAACTAGAAGTACGAGAAGCAGTTTTTGAAGAGGTTTAGGGTAAAATTTATCAGAAATCAAGTTTGAATGAATTGTGGATTGTGCACAAGAAGTATAGACCTGAAAAATACACGTACCAGGAAGCTCCCACAAATAGTGTTTGTAGAGATTAACATCGATGAAGATTGATGGAGGAGAAGCGACACTAACAAACTTTGACGGCGGGAGGAGTAAAGGCGGAGGGAGATAGTGAACGGCGAAGGGAAAGTGGTGAACAGCCAGATTTGGAGAAAGTAGAAAGGCAACGGTCGGTGATAACGACTCCGTTCTGATGATACCAACGACTGTCCGGTGACTCTAACGTTGGTGTTGTGTTCTGAGTGGTGGTGCAACTCAAATGAGAGAGATAAACATTTGATTTCATATTCGTAGAGAGGGTGGGGTGGGGGTGGGGGTGGGGTTAGGGCTTTTATATATATATATATATATATATATATATAAAAGTTCGGTTCGGTTTTGCCATTTTATAAACCGAAACCGACCCAATATTTCGTTGTTTAAAAAATCAAACCCAAACTGTCAATTCTAATTTTATCGTTTTTTTTTGTCAATTTTTCGGTATACAGATTCTATTCTACTCGCCCTGAATAAAAACCTTTTATTTTCTTATACTCAAATTACAAAAAAAATTGAATCAATAAATCATGAACGGTAAATAAGTATTGGGAATGTTGATGAGTTCGTGGGGTTGTTGAGGATACGTGGTTGGTGAGGTTGTTGAATGATTTCTTAATTACATTTTAGTCCCTCTACTATCTACAACTTGTACATTCCCCTCAAATAACTGATTTGCGTTTTCTATTCTAAACAATTACTCTCGATCGGTATTTTCCATTTAAAATTAACAACAATTTTTATTTCAACGACATTGATAGTGATATTTTGTTATATCATATCATCACAAATAATTTATTAAAAAACTGGCAATTTTTATTTACCCAATAATATATTGATTTAAGTTATATTTATATATCTAACAAGTTAAATAAATATAAATTTATTTTAAAACCAGGTATACGAGAAATAAACCGTCCAACTTATATTTAAAATCATATATTTTTTTAACAATTATTTATTCTAATACTATAATATTTTAACTATAATTGATATCATAAACTGAGAGATCCATTTTAATAAAAATCCTTGTAACATATGATTCAACTTATTTGGGTGATAGATGTAGGATTCTATTTTACCAAATTAAGTCACAATCGATGTGTTTGAATAGTATATTATTAGTTATTATTTAACTAATATATCATTTTATTTTATTTTTAGAATAAAATAGACAATTTTGGATAGAATTTCATACAGACGTTGCCAAATATATACAATGTTAATTATGTTACTGAATTTTTTTTTACGGACAATATCACAAATTAACACCATGATTCTAATATTAATTTTATTGGTTAAGGAATATATTTCTAACATACCTGATAGGCCACACATCATTTGATTGTTGCTACTTACCTTATTATGGAATTCGATGATAATTAAATTAAGATGATGAATATGATATGATGTATATAATAATTGATAAACCTGCCAAGATAATGACCATGAAAACTACTATCTCTTAAGACGATTGGATGTACAATTCCATATTAAGTACTATAACATTTATAAGTTGGGACATATATATATATTTTGATTAAATTAAGATGTAGTTGCGTTTTTTGAATTTATTCATGAAAAATAGTTTTGTTGAGAGAAATCTTTATATGTTTTTCAAATCAGATTTTCATCCTTAAAAAGTTAAAATTGAGATTCAATATCGAACATGTCAAAACTCAAACCCCGTAAATCTAATCATTAATAGGGTTGTGCATCTAAGTAAAGTTGGATTGAAGAAAGAAAATGATAAATAAACATCTAAGTTTTATCGTGGTTCATACCAAACCATAGGCTTATAAAATACTTAAAGGAAAAACAAAGTTTCAAAACCGTTCAGAAAAACCCAAATTATGTTTTGTATGTTTAAAAAAACCCAACGAGCTTAACTTTTTGTATAAAAGACCCAACGATCTTATGCTTTTGTTCAATTCTCATTGAAGGCAACCAGATTCATTAGGTATACAATTAGTTGGCAAATGACATGACATTATATTTAATGACATGAAATAAACACATTACATTATATTTAATGACATGAAATAAACAGATTAGAATTGCCCTTGAGATATCGATTTAAGGCTCGGAGAATAGAAAAATGAATGACGTCTGTGTTCGATGTCTTGTAATGACTACTTCTTATTCTTCATCTCAATCTTGATTTCCAACTCAATATCTACAAAGAAGATATTTGATGATGCAAGCCCTTGTGGATGTGGACGCCCTTATTGGATTTAAACATCTAGAATGGAGGATCATCCAGAGAAAAAGTTTAAGGCTTGCTCGAACACATGAATAAGTGTAACTGAAAGCTTTATCATGTCTATCTTCTATCTATTTGTTTGGTTCCTTCAAAAACAATAACTTATTAATATAATCAACCAAATAGATAGAAGATGGATATCTTCTATCTATTTGTTTGGTTCCTTCAAAAACAATAACTTATTAATATAATCAACCAAATAGATAGAAGATGGACATGCTAAAACTTTCAATTACACTTACCTATCTGTTCGAGCAAGCCATTAACTTTTTCTCTTGATGATCCTCTATTCTAGAAGTCCAAATCCGAGAAGGGCGTCCACATCTACAAGAGTTTGCATCATTAAATATATTTTTTGTAGATCTTGAGTTGTACATCAATGATTGGAAGAAAAAAAAATATCCATTACAAGAGATCTAAAATAGACGTCGTTCGTTTTTATCTTCTCCAAGCCTTAAATCGACATATAAATGACAATTTTAATCTGTTTATTTCATGTCATTAAATATAATGTCATGTCATTTGCCAACTAATTATATACCTACTAAATTTTGTTGCCTCTAATGAGAATTGACAAAAAGCGTAAGTTCGTTGGGTTTTTTTAACATACAAAACATGATTGAGGTTTTCTGAACGGTTTCGAAACTTCGTTGGTCTTACAAGTCATTTTCCCAATATTTAATTTTACGTTATAAACCATGTCATTCGTTGATTTTCATTAGCCGGTAAGCAAAAGTGTATGATAGTTTATGTTTTTTAGACAAATGATTAAGTTCGTTGAGTTTTATTGAATAGACAAAACATAATTGGGGTTTACTGAACGATTTGGAAACATCGTTGGGCTTATAAGTCATTTTCTCATACTTAAATTTGTTTTAATTTGCAAAAATAAAAATTTAAAATAACGTGCAACAAACTTTTTAGAGCTTTTAGGAATTAGGAGCTTGGATTTTATTTAAAAAGCTTAAATTAAATAAAGAACTTTACTAATTATAACAAAATTATTGTTTTTAAGACGTATTATGTTGATTGTTACAAAATGCATTTCACCTTTATATTATTAGTTTGTCATTAAACAAAACTTTTGTTTTATTATTTATTTTAGATGTTCTTTCATCTAGGGTTGTGTTTCGGGCCGGAACCGACCCGAGCCTGAATAACCCGAAACCCGAATTGGATGAAAAATGGGAAACTGAAACCCGGACCGATTATACTAATACGGACCGGTTCGGTTCGGGTAATATGGGTTTCGGTTCGGTTATTAACCCGGATAGGACCGAAATAACTCAAATAAACATTTACATTATGTTTTTGAACCAAATAACCCAAATAAATCGAAAATGACCCGAATAACCTAAATAAGGAAATTCTATATCTAGTTCAAGAAAAAAAATATTAATTTAATATTTTTTTTCTTGAACTAAATATAGAATTTCCTTATTTGTGTTATTTGGGTCAATTCGGTTTATTTGGGTTATTCGGGTCATTTCGGTTTATTTGGGTTATTCGGTTCAAGTGACTATTCACTTTCCGGGTCGGTCTTTTTGGCCCGATTAAACCTTTATTCAGGTAACCTGGACCGAATAATCCGAAACCCGAATTAGAAAAAAAATAGATACCCGAGAACCGACCCAAATAACTTATTCGGTCATAATTCGGGTCGGTCCGGTCCGGGTTTCGGTTTCGGTTCGGGTATTCGGTCCAAACGCACATCCCTACTTTCGTCTAATACTTCTACACAAATACAAAATACTTCTACACAAATACAAAACTACTACTTTGAAGTTCCAACAACAAACATCAACTTTTTTATTTTATAAGAAAAAAACGAAACAAATAATAAGTCGATTTTGACTTTAAATATCCAACAAAGCTTAGGGGCGAATTTGATATACTATTGAAAAAAAGGGGGCTAAATGTATTATCCTTGCATTATAAAACAATCCAGGGATCTACCAATCTTGGTGTGCCATCCTTCAGTGAGTTGTGAAATAGATCAGAGGACAAGATCTGAGATAACACACTACTGAATCTTTAGATCTCCCGATTTTTCTGTAATTAAAGCAGAAAATGAAGGTAATTGAGAAGATTTTGGAGTCTACGGCGGCTGGAGATGCCGGAAAGGTGGTTTTTTCCTTCGAATTCTTCCCTCCGAAGACAGAAGAAGGTGTTGAAAATCTGTTCGAAAGGATGGAGCGAATGGTGGCTCACAATCCTACATTTTGCGACATCACATGGGGCGCCGGTGGCTCCACGGCAGAGCTGACTTTGGAAATAGCGAGGAGGATGCAGAATATGGTTTGTGTGGAGACTATGATGCATTTGACTTGTACTAATATGCCGGTGGAGAAGATAGATCACGCTCTAGAGACTATTAAGAAAGATGGAATCCAGAATGTGCTGGCTCTTCGAGGTGATCCACCACGCGGTCAGGATAAGTTCGTTCAGATCCAGGGCGGGTTCGCTTGTGCTCTCGACCTGGTACGTATCACGATTTTGCTTTCGGTAGTGGTTTGATTATTTAATTGGATTTAATTTTACGAATTTGATGTCTAATCAATAATTGCGTTAGCGACATTTCCACACGAACTAGTAACTACCGACATTAGTTAATTAGATTTGAAGTCGTGAAATTGAAGTCTAACTGATCATTAAGTTGCAAGCTTTCTACGCTAGCTACCGACACAAGTTAGATGATCTAGATCCTAGGACCACATTAGAATGTGTATTGAGCTTTAGAGTTTAATTACCACATGTTATCTCATCGGGATTCTGAATCACTTGCTTGCAATTTGCTAATTTCTTATTAAATTGAGTGTTTTTGAAGTCTAATTTCGGGATCTGTTATTGCTATAGAGTAGTTTTGTTCATTTTAGCCCAATTTCCAATAATTAGTTTCATAAAATAGATACTCTGGAAGAATGTTAGCTTTTGAGAACTTTGAAGTCCATAATAGCTTCTCTAAAATGATTTAGATTACGAAGGACTTTACAAGATATTACTGTTTTCACAGTATTTTGATTACTTAATTAGATTCAAATTTGTGAATTTGCAGTCTAATTGATCATTGAGTTACCAACATTTCTTAACTAGCTGCCAAGTTCCATCACAAGTTAGATGATCTACATGCTAGGATCATATTTGATTTATGTTATTCAGCATTATATTTTTAACTGGCAACATGCTATTTGAATGAGATTTTCAATTGCTTGCTTGTAGTTAACTAATTACTTGTTGAATTTCGCTCATTTCCTAGTAATTCGTTTGATACACAAATTCCTTTTGAACATTGTTTAAATAGATGAACTTTAGGTCGAGGTATGTCGAGTCCATTTAGCTTGTTTAAGATTATTTAGATAATGAAGAAGTTTACATCATGGTGCATCAAGAATCTAAAAAAATTGCACCCATTTTCAAGTGAACTAATTAAGCAGTAAGAGAATTATTGTAGTCATTTCACATGGAATTAATAGCTTTGGTTTTTTATATTAATTTTGTGCCTTTTTTTCTTTTGTAGGTGGAGCATATCCGCAAGTCATATGATGACTACTTTGGCATAGCTGTTGCTGGTTATCCAGGTTTCCATCTGGCTTCCGTTTGTCTTTATATCTAGAGTCTATCGAGTTCCATGAGCATGATATTTTTAGTATTATTTGTAAATGTTATTCTACTTAATATCTCAGTGTATTTTGGGGCAAACGCTTTATAATCACCCTTTTCTTAACATTTCTAAAAATTTACTTCTCAGAGGCACATCCTGAAGTCATTGAAGGCAATGGCTTGGCTACACCCGAAGCATACCAAAAGGATCTTGCTTATCTCAAGAGAAAGGTACAATCTATTTTCACAATTTGTGTCCCAAAATACAACCTACTTTCAAAATTTAGGTGCTTTGAGGTAGTATTTGTTATGTTGACTTCTAACTTACAAATGGGATTTTATGTTGCAGGTTGATGCTGGAGCAGATGTGATTGTGACTCAACTTTTCTATGATGTTGATAATTTTCTAAAATTCGTGAATGATTGTCGCCAAATTGGAATAACTTGTCCCATTGTTCCCGGTATTATGCCCATTAACAACTATAATGGTTTCATTAGGATGACTGGTTTCTGCAAAACTAAGGTATGCTGGCCTCCAAACTTGGTGTTCTGATCTAATAATTTATGATTCACCTTACTGTAAGGGTATATCTTTAACATGGCTACATGAAGTATGAAGTGGGCGTGATATAATTTTTATAACTACTGCAGATTCCATCTGAAATTACTGCTGCTTTGGAGCCTATCAAGGACAATGAGGAAGCTGTTAGAAACTATGGAGTCCACCTTGGAACTGAAATGTGTAAGAAAATCATGGCTAGTGGAATCAAGACTTTGCATCTTTATACACTCAACAATGAGAAATCTGCATTGGCAATATTGACAGTAAGTACAACTCCTCAATATTGTTTTTGTTTTCACTTGAAATATTACATACAGGTTGTAGTTAAATTTTGTTGGGACAGAAAGTTTGAATTTATGTCCCATTGACATCAGTCCTAGTCCCAGTGTAGTCAAACATAGTACAACCTGTTAGGGAGGAGGGAGTCGTTCCCTCCCAACCCATTGAACCCACTGCAACATCACTTTTTTTCTTTTATTTTTCTTCATCTTTCTGAACCCACAACACAAGGAAATCCTATCTTTTTGAACCCACTCAACCCATTCAATTAAAAAAAATACAAAGCAACTAAGGTACAAGTTTTAAAACACATGGTACAAGAGAAAATAAGAAAGAGAAAGTAGAGAGAGATGATGAAGTGAGTTAGTGAAACCAATCAACCCACTCGTTGAAGCGGGAGTGGTACCGCCGATAACTCTATTGCTAATTAAGATTTTACATTTGATTGTTTTGTATTTTTTTTAATTGAGTGGGTTGAGTGGATTCAAAAAGATATGATTTCCGTGTGTTGTGGGTTCGGAAAGATGAATAAAAACAAAAGAGAAAAAGTGATGTGGCAGTGGGTTGGGAGGGAATGACTCCCTCCTCCCTTATGTCATGTCATTTGCATTATAAAATGTAAACTTACATTATATCTATCTACCATACAGAGTCTTGGATTGGTTGACGAGGCCAAAATTACAAGACCACTTCCATGGAGGAGACCTACTAACCTTTTCCGTCTTAAAGAAGATGTTAGGCCAATATTCTGGTATGCAACATGAACATGAACATGAATTTTTAAGTTGATTTGTTAACAAATTACTTCATTTTAAAATTACTCATTATGAATTTTGATAGGGCCAATCGTCCAAAGAGCTACATATCAAGGACTGGTGGTTGGGAGCAATATCCACATGGGCGTTGGGCGGATTCTTCTAATGCATCATACGGAGCATTAACCGATCATCAGGTATGCCTACAATTGCAACATTTCATTTTCTGGAAATATTAATCTACTTATTTGCCCACCCATTATCACGAAAATTCTTGTATTTGTTTCCAATGACGACATCATACTCGTCTTTCGGTTGCAAATTAACAATCAACACAACAGCTGATATTGGACAAAGTTGAATGCAAAAAGATATAGAGCTAAATGCAAGAAAGTGCAATGAACTATTGCATCCTACTTTCATTTATTTCTATTACATCATCGTACTTTCTATTTCTTTTGATAAATCTACTACCCAATCATAGCACAGCAAAAATTGATTCGTATTTTGATGAAATTGATATAGCTATAGCGGGTTGATTTTTCAAAGTACAGTTTTGTAATAGGAAGAGATGAAAGTCTGATATACTATAATAATAATTTAAAAAAAAAAAAAAATGAAAGCACGTTGCTATATTTATTGTATTTAAGCGAAAGGTATATGCCACTCTTTTCTTTTCTCATATGTTGTGAATATTACAAGCAGTTCATGCGGCCGCGTGCACGTGACAAGAAAATTCAAGCAGAATGGGTGGTCCCTTTGACCAAGTTTGATGATATTTCCGAGGTATGCGTATTATGGTATTTCTAATTTAATCACTATACTATACATATATGTAATGTAAAAATGCGTTGGGCGGCTAATTGAATGAATGATTTTACATTTTATATCAGAAATTCATGAAGTACTGCCTTGGGCAACTAAAAACCAGCCCTTGGTCGGACCTCGATGCACTTCAGCCAGAGACAAAAATTATCAATGAAGAACTCGCTTCCATTAACCTCAAGGGTTTCCTCACCATCAACAGCCAACCTGCTGTTAATGGAGCCAAATCTGACTCCCCATCTGTTGGTAAGATAAGCTTTTACTTTGATGCAAGAAATAGCTATAATACACAGTTTTTGCATATATATATATATATATATATATATATATATATATATATATATATATATATATATATATATATATAATAAAGTTGCTGACTGAGATGAGTTGTTATTTGGGTTTGAAGGATGGGGCCCAGCGGGTGGGTACGTATACCAGAAAGCCTACGTGGAGTTTTTCTGCTCTGGTGAAAAGTTAAATGCTCTTGTGGAGAAAAGCAAGGCAATTCCTTCACTCACATACTTGGCGGTGAACAAGGAAGGAACCCTGGTTTCAAATGTTGGGAAAAACGATGTGAATGCAGTCACATGGGGTGCCTTCCCAGGAAAGGAGATCATTCAACCAACTGTTGTGGACCCCGCTAGTTTCTTGATATGGAAGGATGAAGCTTTTGAGATCTGGTCAAGAGGATGGGCTCAATTGTATCCCCAGGAAGATAACTCTTCAAGATCGCTTCTCCAAGAGGTTCCTTTTCTTATCTCTCATCTCTTTTCTTGCCATTTTTTATTTTTATTTTTCTTGTTTTCGTTATTTCATTGATTATGGTTTACTTATACATACAGGTACAAAACACTTACTACTTGGTGAGCTTGGTTGATAATGATTACATAAACACCAATTTATTCACCGTTTTCAAGGGATTCTAGAAACACATCCACCGCCTCTTCTTTCTATAGAGAAAATTGATTGTCTTATGCTCTTACTTATACTTTCTTCTTTATATTTTGATTTCGACGTCTTCTCTCATCTGTCTTTCTTGTTTTGTAATCTAATGTTCCTACATTTGTTGTGCAAACTACATACACCCATAAGCAACATATTTTAATTATTCCATTACCAAGAAACAAGACCAAACCAGCTTCTTTTTACCTAGTATGTGTACAAGTATTAAATGCAGAATATACGTACCATCATGTCATTGCTTATAAAAGTAATTTCTATTGTGCTATTATTGGATTTTTGTGTTATAGAATTCACCATTTCTAATGGAGAATGTCATCTGCTTTTTGTATTGCATTGTTAACAAAATCTTAGATTTTGGGTTTCAAATATCAATCAATTGGAAAATTCAAGGATCATATATGAAAAACACTGTGATTTTGACCCAAGGGTATTATGAAATCCGATTTGGGATAATCCAATAACAAGCTGAATTGAAATACATACCTATTACAAATTATGAAACACATAAATGCCTTGCAATTGAATGTGTTTTCCAAAGACAAAGTGTAGAGAGAAGTAGTTATCGTTCTCAATCTTTTGCAACGTTTTAATCTTCTATATACATATATAGAAGACAACCGTTTTAAGGTGAAACAACTCCCTTTTAATGGACCCAAAGTTTGGGTCATTTGCCGGGAAAAATACGGTTTGCCCCTAGACACGCCAAGGGTGTTGTCCCCGAACCTTGTGTTCCCGAGTCCTCTTAAGTTATTTGAATGTGCATTTTGTACCTTCTGTCTCGATATATAACCAAAAAGATACTTGACAACTCTTATCTAACACTTTGACCTGCTATAGCACCGCAAAGGGACGGGCACACCATTAAGTAGGTAGGGGGCTAGTCCATCAATGAAATAATGTCGACCAATTATGTCTATAAAAAATGGTCTAATATATTATAATTATATAATAACTAAGTCAACAATATATCTATATTATTGTATGTGATTTTTGAAATTGTTTTTTTACTTATTTGAATTTTGATATGTAATATCTTTAACTTTTGATCGTGATTAATTGTTTATATTGCCAATTCTAGGCTTGGTGGTTTATGTGGATATTTAAACATTAAGCTAAATCTTTATGTTATTTTATTAAAATTTCAAAGTGTTTGAACTTCAACTTAAAGACTGAGTGAAAAAGTAGAAATTTTTGCTGGACCGGTCATTTTCACTCAAAACGATGAATTAACTAATTTCTAGTGTCCCTGACGAATGTGTCTTCTGGATCTGTCACTGACACTATTGCATGTTTTAATTTGATATGTTATACTCAGTATTGTAAAAGTCGTTAGATGGTATATTAAGTCGGTCGACTAGCGACTAATCGGGACACTAAGATATAAATCCCTTCAATTTAAAAAAAAAAAAATGACTAATAAATACGATTAGTATCAAAACAAAATAAGTTAATATAACTAATAAAACACTAACACTTTTTCAAATAGTTTTTATTGAGATATAAATTCTCCAAGTTAAAAAATCATCGGTTTGGACAACTTCACTAATAGTCTACATAGAGATTAATCGATATGCACTGTCTAGTTGGTCGCTTACCGCCTAGACAGGATTAATCAGAGACTAGCTAGTCGTGATTTTTATAAAACTGAATATAATAAGTTAAAAGTATGTCAAAGTTGAATGATTTTAGTGGAATAGAAAATGTCAAAATGGTGGCTTTAACCATTCAACTTTTAAGATCGTTTAACAAGTTTATGCCTATGTCATCTTTATTGTCCGTGTTCAATTTCTTAGCTTTGATTGTTATACCTTTATGTCGCTGTTATTCATAATATTAAAAGAATTGTCGAACAAATTCATTCTATCGAGTGTTGTAGCTCAAATATTTAGCCACCTTGCCTTGGCCTACACCTCGATCGGTAATCTTCTATTCTATTTTTTTAGTCTCATCTTTCATCTATTTTTTTAGTCTGATATGCTCCTGTTACAAGAATATATTAATGATATTCTTGTAATATCAAAATCTTAGCCGCTAATAAGATATCTTTCCACTACATTATGAATTTTAAATCATGTTCTTGTAGATTCAAAAACATTAAACTATTCAAACAAAATTTTATTTGAATTGGAGACCGATACATGCTGACAAAGAATTATTAGAAAAGTTTATCCGTTCAAACGGGCCATATTATGATATGAAGAAGATACAACAATGCTTACTATCGATAAAAAAAACATAAGAAAAAGGGATCCCAGAATAATCAAATCATGTGGATACAAATGAATTCAATATATAGATACAAGTATCGTACGTGATTAACCAAAAGCGAAAAAACTACACATACATGATCGAATCCACCAAATATGCACGACACGACACGACACGTTAATAATAAACGGAATTACCAATCGGAGCATCTAGAATCATGATTCAGACGGGGAGATTCTCGACGGAGGCAGGAGCATTTTTATCGGAGACTGTCGATTGAAGATGAGCCATCATAATAGCCTGCTCTTTGGCTTCTTCTTCCTCCAGTTCATCCTCGTCGTCGGAATCGGCGGTGGTTAGGTTAACGCAAGAGCAACTTTCCAGAGATGCGAAAAACGCCGATGCCACATTGTTACCCACCCTACTCGCCAATCCGGGCTTTTCGTTCGAATCGCTGCTCGAATTCGAATTCGAATTCTCCTCCATCTTCTTACAATCAATATCTCCGATCTTATTCAATTGGAGTTAATCGATTGATTCGATACGATTCCAAATTTTCCCAAATATTAATTTTATTACTTGTGTTTGTATAAATATCTCAAATTTTATGTTTCTTAGGGATTTTCTAATATATGTTCTATATAAAAAAGTTATTAATTGAAATAGTATTTATAATAAACATTAATTATGGATAATATTATCATAGTTAATTATAAAATACATTAATTATAAAAAATATTATTTATAATTAATATTTATCATATGATAATATTCTTTATAATTAATATTTCAATTAATGTTTTTTTATATGTATCTTTAGGGCACATATTAAAAAATCTCAATATTTTATTTATATTTGTAAAGTACTAGCTAAATGATCATGAAACGTAAAGATGCAACTTTGTGTGTGATCAACCGATTATATCTTCTAGATTCTTAAAATTCTATAATTTCCCGTTACATTTTTTTATTTGCATATTCTTGGTAATGTTTTCATTTACTTTTGAATATTCATATTATATGCATATCGTTTTATCTTATTTAGTTAATCTATTAAGTTATATAATAATACTAAATTTTATTTTAAACAAATTATAATGATCTCATTTATAACTTCAAAATTTGGAAAACAAAAAAGAACTCAAATAGTTGTGATAATGACAATATTTACCTTTGATAACTAATTTCAATGAATAGCTTGAAAGATTTGATTTTTTTAACATTGTTCTACGTACGTACAAAAGAATAATACTATCATTATATACAAAGAAGGCTTGAAAATTTATGATTTATGAATTTTTTTTGTTATTTTTTAACAATAGTTATTTATTACTTAAAGTATCTACTAATTCATTATGTAACTTTGTATATCATGGACCTTTTTTGTTAATTATTTTCCAAGGATCATTCCTGTAATTGCGTATATTGCGAGTCATGTTTCTGTATTCTTATTCAAATATCAACTCGTCTATTAGGGATCATTTTCACACACGGACGATTCATTTTTCATAGGGCCATTTACAACCTTGGCACTATTCTAATCAGTTTACTACATTTTCTTGCTCTAATTTCTTAATGAAATTGAGTAATTAAAAAAACATGTAATTTCCATGAACTTATTTTATTGATTTTGTCTATGTGGTGTGGATTAGCATAGGACACCTTAAGAACCGGAGGTGGGATAATTGGTCGACAAAATAAGTGGCAGACCCAAAAAAATATATATATCAGGATAACCTGTTAGAAAATTATACTTGAAAATATCTCAAAAAATATATGTTGTGTCAAAAAAATTTGATCATTAGTCTCACTAAGGTCCACAAATGGACAAAAGGTGTCACCCAAAGAATCATACAGTTAATCAACTATTTACATTACTTGTGTATTGAAGACAAATTATTCAATAAACAGTTTCTATAAAGATACTAAAATTATTTTGCATAATTTTACGATTTGTTTCATTGTGTGAAAACAAAGCTAAAACATAAATGACATAATGTGTGCTTATCGGCTTCAGTTATTATTTTACGATTTTTTTTATTGTGTGAAACTAAAGCTAAAACATGAATGATATAATGGGTGCTTATCAGCTTCAGTTGTTACGGATACCTAAATTCATAGCATACATCACTAATATAGTGTTAAAGATATTAAATAGTTTTGTCATATAAGTTCAATAATAATATAATTTGCCTTTTTTACTGATATGATATGGGCAGATAAGTTCAATAATAATGTATTTTTCCCTTTTTTACTGATATGGGCAATACATTTTAGATTTTACCCATAATACCCACATGTTTTATGAAATTCTACATGTTACACACGGATTATAAACCATTTCCAAGACATTTTAACATAGTAATGGTAAAAATATAGAGTTGGTATAAATTCATAAAAGAACAATTCATATGCATATGCAACTAATCTGAACGAGTCCACTACTCTCAAATAAGTCTCTCACTTTTTAAGTACTCATGAAAACATTAACTCTTCATTTTCAAACATAAATATCTAATGACCCCTTATATGAAATAAACTCTAACCTCTAAATGTACTTACTAAAAATCAACTTAACTCATTTATTACTTAATAATTTAAGTGACTTTGTAACGTCCTAAAATTTAAGACTAAAAATTTCGATTTTTAAATTGATAAAACCATTATCAAAAACAACATCATCAAAACCATATTGAATCAAAGTGTATTAATAACATCCAAATACATCAGAGTAATATAAAATGCGGAGCGATGTGGTGTGTGCACTGCAATCAACCTGAGCTCTTCCCCTTCGAACCAGAAGTACCTGAAACATACTAAAAACCTTAAGCACAAAGCTTAGTGAGTTCCCCAAAATACCACATACCATACATATCAAACATATAATGGGCCCCGCCCGTCATCGAGCCCCACTCGGAACAGATCTGTCAGTCATCAGGCCCCGCCCGATATACATACAAACATATAAACACATGCGTAAAAATCACAAAGATAAATAGCATACAATGAAATCATCAGGCCACACCAGGTAAACATATAAACACATAACATATGCAAGAGTCACGCAGACAACTAGCATCCTACACATAATAAACCATGGGCCAACATTGGTGCCTTCGACCCACTAACTATAATGAGGAAACTCACCTCGTTAACAAAATCCACAGCTAACAGCTCACACAGCCAACGAACGGGTGTCATACACCTCTTAACATACCATACAAGGTAAACCCTTAGTCCACCTTCTAAAACTAGCAATTTGACCGAAAGTCAACTCCACCAAAAGTCGACCTCAAAGTCAACGGTCAAAGTCAAAGTCAACGTTCCCATCAGTTGATACTCACGTCGTGACCAGTCCTTGGTCACGTCGTGAGAACACACTCGGCCAGATTCCAACTCAACTCGCTTCAACTCAATCAACTTGGTCCCGGATGGCCCACTCCGCAGACCTTACGACGTGAACCTTCCTTGGTCACGTCGTGAGCTCAGTCAGTCGAAACAATCGCGTAAAAACCATTCTCACGCCGTGACACTCCTTGTGTCACGTCGTGAGCCACGTTTGATGCTAAATCCTAATGTCTTGAGTCCTTAATCCATTAAGTCAACCATTCTAACTTTCCAGGGGGCTTTCATATACCAAAAGCAACATAAAAATCTTTGCTTTATGGACATGCATGTCCAACGCATGTCTTGAACTTGATTAGGTTAAAATGGTGAAAATGAGATCCAAATCTCATGCGTGGGACCAAAACTCAACCAAACTCTAGATCTAGCACACCAAACCTTAAAGGGACTTCATGGATCCCTAAAGTTGCCAACTTTATGGAATCCAACCACTCAAACCACCTCCAACATGAAGAAAATGGCATAAAAGTCTAGATATAGAATAATAACACATAAAGGTTGGAACTTGAGGACTTACCATGGTCCAAGGTATGATCTTTAAGGTGGGGAGGGAAATTGCTTGCTGGATTTAAGCACCAAGAACATCTTCTTCTTCTTCAAAGCACCAAAATCTTCATAAATGGATGGAAGAGGAAATGGGAGGCTCAAAATGGTGAAAGGGAGGCTAGGGTTTCTCTCAAGATGATATATATATATATATATATGATGGAGGCTCATAAAATGACCTAAAAACACGGAACCAACCCTTATATATATATTGAAAACCCTAAAACTCATGGGCTTGGGCTGCACAGTTCTCATGTCGTGAGCTCCTAATGCTCACGTCGTGAGCACAGTTTAACTCAGCATTTTCGTTTATGTAACACTTGGATTTAGGTATTGACATACGATCATATATAGTCAGGGATCAGATAGACAGTCGAAAAGATGGTCCGCCCGAGTACGAACAATCAGACAAGAACATCACAAACAGACATGAGACCAAGAGTTCTCAGGATATCCAACTTAAACTACAAAAACCTCAAGCTATCACTACTCGGTAACCTTGTCGCTTACCCTGCTCCATTGGCAACTAGCCTTACCTAGTTACCCAGTTATATGATACATATCAAACAAATCCTTCGTTGCTAAAGCCTATATGATCCATGTAACTGGCCTTCCCAGTTAACCTGACCAAACAATCTCTTAACCGTACCGCTTGATCAACCGGTCACAATCTCACCGACCTATCTTTACCGACCAAAAGGACTCTGGTGAACCCTCAAGATATACACCAAACATGTCTCCCGACCATAGGTCCGAAACCCAAGGTGACTCGTACTTCAGACTAATCCCAAATGATTATCCCCCACTTGGATTCGACTAAACGATGCCAACCTAATAAGCGTTCAAATTTCCAAGCCATCCCACGACCTCACTATTCAAAACCATCACCAATTCAAGTTTGCAGAACTAAGATTCCATGACCAAACAATCAAGGGTAAGCGTACCCAAAAGCCAAAATATTCAACTCACCAAAACTTGATGAGAGGTTAACGTATCAATTGCACTTTCAACTGATACAGTTCTAATCCTTCGAAGAACCTCAACCTTTGAAGGTGAACGAAATAACTAATGGTCGAGGAAGCATCTACAACTAATCCAATGATCCAACATACAACTGAAAAAAACCCATGCGAAACTACACATATGAAACGCTGAAGTTGATTGACAGATCAACAACTGCTTGTCCTTGACTACTTTTGATTAAACAAATCAAAAGGCCATGTTTCTTTTATTTTTTCTTATAAATATATAAAAGAAGACAAAAGTTTATAAATTTTATAACCTTCTTTTATAAAATATAAACTTTGGCTTTTGGCTAAAAGATAAAAGTCTTTCTAGTCCAAAATAATATACATGACTTAATAAATCATACCATATGATATATTATGTTACTTGCTAATGAAAAATTATTATTTCCAAGAAATAAATAATTTTCAATTAATTATAAGAGTTTATTGAATATTTATTAAAACCAATTTCTAATAAATAATCAATTCTATTAAGTTGTTGTTAGTGTAACTCATTAGTATCATATG